TTATTTTTAAGGTTAAATTTTAAATTAACTTTTTTCTTACTTTGAAATTCTTCAAAGCTTTAGTAGATGAGACAAAACTACTTTTTTTAAAAAAATATATATATCTATTTTTAAAAAATATTTGTTTATTTAATATTTAACTATTTATAACGGTTATATCAATTTTACTATACTATTCAGTAATTTTTTTAAAATTTGGATATTAATAAAATTAATCTCGTAATTTTTTGTAATACAATATTTTAATAGATTTTACTTTGTTTTTCGTTTAGTTCTATTTTAATTTCATTTAAATTTATAAAATTTTAATAAAAATAAAGAGGTTTTATGTCTTATTATCGAGAATTTCGTTTAAAAAAAATACAATATTTAAATTTAAATAAATTTTTACATAAAACTTACTGTATTATGTGAGAAGAGAAGTATGAATTATTGGTATAAATTCTCAAATATTTTTGTGTTTCTCAATAAAAATGTGTTGTTTTTTTATATTTTTTTAGTTAAACATAAACTCTATTTGAGGAAAAAAAAACTATTTTTTGAAATTATTTTAAAAATTATATTATAATAAAAAGACTTTTATAACTAAATTATAAGAGTTTTTGTATTATAATAACTAAAATAATATTCAATGTAAGGATAAAAAATTAAAAGTTTATTCTAATAGACTATGTTCAAAATAAATGCAAGATTTGTATGTAATTCATTTATGGATTTGTACTAAATTGATGCCACATAAAATTATGCTTGAGATTAAAATAATTTGATTAAATTAATAAAATTTAAAATATATTATTACAAATTTATATTAAATTTTATGTCACTTTATTTTTCAATTAAGTTTAATTTTTATTATATTATAATTAATGTAATTAAGAATTTTTTTGTAAAATTTATTTCAGTAAATTATGAATTTAGTTTTTTAAAATATAATTTAATATATCTTAAATTAGGACGCAATATGTTACTATTTATTACGATTTTATTTGCAAATATAAGCTTTTTTTAAGTCTGTAGAATGTAAAATAAAATAAAAGTATTTAAATAACTGAATTGTGGAACCATAAACCTCGAGCTTAAAGCCCTAACCTGGCTAACTCCCTCTCGCCTCTCTCGCTTCTCGCCAGTCACCTGAAACCTCATACTATCCTCGCCGGCACGGCTGATCATCTTTCGTGTCTGCTTTTCACACCACTGCCGCTGTCCTTCTCTCGAAGACACCGTTGTTGACCTCCCGTTCGCAGCTCACAGCCTTCGTGCAGCATTTTCTCTCGGTTTCTTCTATCTCTTGGCAGCCTCTTTAACGTTCCGACTCGGTTATCTCAGCCCGGTAAGTGGTTCATGAGGTCTTTTAATCCTTATTTCTAAGTGCTTTTAGCCGTTGTTTCTGCGTTTTTAATTAATAGAGGTTGGAGCTTTTTTTTTTTGTTTTATGTATTGTGCTATTAGCTATTACCAAAGTATTAAAGAAAGAGATGAATTGATAATATACTCGAAAAGTATATGGTGATTTTTTGCTTTTGAAGTTGATTTAATTAGGGAATGTAGAGGGGATGAAGGAAGTTCGTTTTAGGATTGTGTATGATTTTGAGTCTGCAATGTTCGTAATCGATGAAATCCATGGATATGTTCATGGATTTTTAAGGGACATGTTCTGTCATCTTATCAAATATGTTCTGATGATAAAATTTAAAACTTCAATTGGAAATTCATCTTCTACACTTGGAGGTAAAATATGTTTAGCTTTTAATAGATTCGAAAACCCCAATGGTGTCACAAATCTATGATTTCGAAATTTAATTTTATAATAAATTACATTAAAAGAATAGTGGAAGAAGGCAGGATATCAAATCGTAAAGGACCAAGCTTCTGAATCCAGTCTGGTTAATGTTTTCTTCCATCTATTTTTGTTCTCCCTTTTCCCTCAAATTCCAGTACTCAAACAGTTTGGTTTGGTTTCAGAGTGAACACTAATAAAATATCCTCTTTCTTTTAAGTGAAGTGTAGCTATCCATAATTGCTTTCAGGAATTATGTTTTAGCACTAACAAATAACTATAGAAGTTTAGGTAATTAAGTTTGTGCAGAAGGTTTCTTATAAAGTCATTATTTTCTTTTCTTTTTTTGTTCAAGAAACTTTGGTTTTGGAGCGTTGTGGAGGATAAGGGATTTCCTCCTTTCGAAATCTATATTTATTTTTAATTATTATCTTTTGTTTGTTTCCTTGAAATTAATTTTCTAAGAAATTTCTTTGGAAGCATTTTGGGGCTCCAATAGCCATTTCAGAGAAGCATGTTACAGAAATTACCAACTTCTACTATGAACAAATTAATGCAACAAGTCTTATATTTTCCTTTCTTTACTTGTTGGGTGACAATGGGGGATAAGTACCTCTTTCTTGATCCAACTCTCTTGTAGTTCTGGTTGAGTTTGCACTTCTTCCTTTTCCTGTTGGTACTCTATGTGTTTGACTCTTGTTAGTGTCTTAGCATTGGAACTTACTAACTGCAGGGTTTTTGATGGACATGGTTTTTTGTTAAAATGATAACGTGTACATTCAGTGTGTTTATATATGTGTGAGAGAGTTATGTGCATGGTATAGGGATGGAATAGCTTCAAGTTTGTTGGTTCCTTATTGCTTTCCTGTATGCATGAGTTGATTTTAAGTTATCCTTAGTTCAATATATAGTAAGGTGCTTGAGGTACATCTTAGTTAATTGATGTTTAGGTGTTACTTGCAATAAAATACTCATTGAATCAGAACTTCAGTACTTCCATATCAATATGCGACCCCTTGACGAGAACGAGACGACTGCTGTGTTTGAGAAGCTCTTCAAGTTCACAGGCAACAACCTCAAGAACATTGTTGAGAACCCCTCCCATGAGGGGCCGGACCCAAACCCAGGCCGTTATTGTTTCAGGCTTCACAAGAGCAAGATCTACTATGTTAGTGAGTCACTGGTGAAGCGAGCCACCAACATAGCTAGACCCAATCTGGCTTCTATGGGTACCTGCATAGGCAAGTTCACTCACGGTGGCAACTTTCATTTGACTGTTCAATCCTTGAATCTTCTGGCTCCTAATGCCAAGCACAAAGTTTGGCTAAAGCCCACATCAGAAATGTCATTTTTATATGGTAATCATGTGTTGAAAGGTGGATTAGGGAGGATAACCGAGAGCATTATGCCTGGGGATGGGGTTGTGGTGTTCTCAATGGCAGATGTGCCTTTAGGGTTTGGGATTGCAGCTAAGAGCACGCAGGATTGCAGGAAATTGGATCCCAATGGGATTGTGGTGCTGCACCAGGCAGATATTGGAGAGTATTTAAGGATGGAGGATGAACTTTGAGGATTTTGGAAGTGTGTTTCTGGTTTTTGGTGAGCGTATGCACGTTAATGTAAGTCAGTTTTGTTTCAGATTGAGTAATTTTTGGATAAGTTATGAGCTTCTTCTGGTTCTTAGATATCGTATTGAAAAGAGTTGGTTCTTATAATATAGTTTTACTATAGGTGGGGTGGTAATTATTGTAAGCTTCTTTTACTTATTACCTGTGCTAATTATATCGAGCATATTCTTGAATAGAATTATTACTGACTGACTCACTTATGGAGTATGTTAACCTTGTTGATCTAAGCTTATATTTCAGTTTATCCTTGGCATCTGCTCATGTTTAGGAGAGGCTAGAGGCCAAATTTCCTTGTTTTGCTAATATGTTGAATCTGGGCATGTCTTCCTGGGTATTGCAAAGAATATTCCGTCGATAGTAAACCACAGAAATCGAATTAGTCGATTTTGCAACTTTTGTTGCTGTTTCATTCTCAATTAAAATAATCTAAATTCTTAAATTGAGACTGGTAAAAGAGTAACCTTTATGTTTACCTTTTCTTTCTACCATACTATGATTTAGAGTTTAGATCTCTGTTATTTTAACACTTGCTGCCGCTTGCACGACTTTTTCATCATTTGGCATTCATCCAACTTTGTTTCCCATCTTCGATACAACCATGTTAAGATTAAGTCACTTGGTTGTCGTGGTTATTTACATAGAAAAGCTTTTGTATTGACATCTAGATGAACTTCCCTTCCACATTTATTTGAAGCTGAACCATTTTTTGATTTCCACCCAACTAAACAGGCAAAAGAGGATTCATCAAATATGCATGAACTCTAGTACCTCGGAAAGTCTGTGTGTTATCATTCGGGTGCTTGATTAGGTTCCTCGGACACCTTGATGATAGTTATTGTGGTTGTCTGCACTTATGAAAATAGTTGATGCTGATATGATTTATAAAGGTTTGCCTAACATGATGGTCGATATAGTTATATGCTATCTACATATAGCATTATGGGTCATGTATGAATAGATGAGGCTGATAATTAACTAAAATGATATAATTGAATTTGAAGAATTTTCAAATTCAACATAAAAGTGCATTCAAAGTTTATCAAATTGTAAGTTTATTTTGCCAATCTAATAAACCAAAGTATAAATTTCTAAATGAAGTACAGAATTTATTCTAAACATATAGCGTAAAAAAATAAAATCCTGCGCGTCCGGGGAATCGAAACCGGGTCAGCTCCGTGGGTGGGTACTATGATACCACTACCCCAGCTGCGCTCGTCCAAAATTGTAATGAACGTTTTTGCCAGTTAAATGGGCTTGGGCTTAATATCTCATTCCTTCTTAAAATTTTCTATTAGATTTACTTCTTCTTTTTTTGGGTTATTATAATATACATATATATATATATGTACACAATACATTCATTTCGATATGATGAAACTATAATGTATTGTTGTTAGAGCATGTTTGACGAATTCAAACAACATTTTGGGTGTTCTTTTACCTAAATCATAAAAAATGAAGAGATTTTTTTTTTTTTTTAAATTTCAAGACTAATCTTGTAGTGGATTTACTTTCAAATAAATGAGGTAAAGCATAAGAGAATTCAAGCTAATTATAAACTAATTAAAGTTTAAGGACTAATTTGTGCCTATTTATGTTTAATTCGTTTTCTCAAGTACATAATTTTAAATTTGTTTTTAATAAATTTAATCATAAACATAAAAACCAATTATATGTTTGGAACAAATAAATTATTTAATTCAAATACAAAATATAAAACTTTAAGTTTAAATAAAATTTAAGGCAATTGGTGTAATATATATTCTATATTACTAAAAGTATTAATAAATTAATCGTCAAATAATATATAGTCAATGCTCCAAATATAATATTATAGAATTATTGAACTAATGGTATTTAATAGAGATTATTATTATTATAATCAAATACTTTACCATCGATAGTATCCCAATATTATTTTATGTTATTTTATCAAAATACAAATTATTTATATTAAAAAATTATAAAAGAAACAAAAATGTATTATCAAAGCACCTATTTTATTTATTCACAACAATTTATAAGCTTTATAAGTTATATACCTCACCTATTTATAAATTAAAAAATCAACCAAACCAAATGATTTCTTATATGTATATGTATATATATATATATATATTAGTTTCTCTATTGTCTCTAATTCTCGACCATGCCCTAATATTTGGGAATTGACAATGATGATACCATCAAAAATGGTGAAAAAGTAATTTACCATTCAAACTTTCCATCAAATTTTCAAAACTAGTTAGGCATGATGTAGACCAAATACTCACACGAGGAGTAAAAAAAACATTGTTTTGGCCGGTGTGATTACTACATACATTCTTTATATTTTATTCACAACAAAATATTTGTATATCACAATTTATAAAACTAATTTTCCAATATAACTTCCCAAGTTATACATAAAGTAATTTAAGTATGGAATACAATTTCATACTTAACATAATCTAAGATTTTCAAGACTTTATGATTTATTTTTAGTAATTTAAATTTTTATGTTTTAAATATTACTTTGTACTTATTAATTAAAAGCTCACTCTCTATGAGAAAATTATTAATCTTATATACCTAGAATGTAAGAATGATTGTTCATTTCAATTATTTTTTCGCACTTATGAATTTGTTTTCACAAAATCAAAATTTTGAGCTATGACATTACATACATAAATATGTTATCATTATTTTTTTCTAAAAATTTAAATTAATATAAAATATTCAATTTGTTATATATACATCAATGTATCTTATAATTCACTTAATTTAATTAATAATGTAATATCCAGAATTAATTTTAAAATATTTAAAATTAATATATAAAATATAATTTTTAAATTTATAAATTTTTATTTAATATAAAATTAAGAAAAATAGGTGGATAATGAAATTAAAAATAATTTTGGAAAAAATGGGTGAAAATTTAGATTATACGAGTGTTTTTGAAAGAAAAATTAAAAACTGAGAGTCAAAATACAATTTGAAAAAAATGTGCCACTTAAAATTGCCCAATCAGCAGCCCCGATGAACCGGAGCAGACCGCGTGGCAAAGCACGCTGACGCGGTACCACGCGGGAGGCCACGCTGGCAATCCACATGCCCGCGATTGGACGGTCCAAATTTGTTCCCGCTCGTGTGGACGGTCCGGATCCGTTTCCTCTTCAGGCGCGATCAGACAGTCGCGATTAAATGCGATGAATGGTATAGATTTTTTCTTTCTTTAAATGCGATCGTACCGTCCAGATTAAATCACGATGAACGGTCCAGATTCACTTTCTATTTAAATGCGATCGGACGGTCTAGATCAAATGCGATAAACGGCCTAGATTAAAAGGGGATGGATATAAATACTTCACTTTATACCAAATCCTAACCCTAGTCGCCAATAACCCCCCTCCCCCGGCGCGCTGGAGAAGAAGAACCAGTCGTCGGGAAGGGAGCCAACCGCCAAAAAGTTCAAAATTTTTCCTAGTCGCTCGAAATTTAATTTTGAACACCTACATGGCCAAATCAGAGCAAAAGGACTGGTGGATGTGAGCCGAAAATCACGGGTAAAGCCTAGCGCCGCCGCCGCGAGAAAAATCAAAAACCGCCTCCAATGAGGCCCTTCTCGATTCCCGTTTCGTGCAATTTTTCCACTATTGTATTCACTATTTTGTTTTCCATAGGTTGACTTAAGAAAAATACCTAACCGCGAAGGTGAGCCGGCGGAGCCGCGACACCAAAAAATTTCGCCGCCGATAAGCTTCAGTTTTTCGACTTTTTTCGGCCAACCGAGACCCCTTAATATATTTTCTCACAGAGATGAGTACAAAATCGGCTGAAATCGACCGAAACTGGCCGAAAACAATATTAAATAACGGTTCTAACACCGATTTAGAATTTTTTTGTTATTTCTAGATACTTAAAGCGTGTTTTAATCCCAGAAAAAAAAATTAGAGAACCCAGGAACTGCCAATAGGCGCAACTGAAAACTCAGCGTTTCGAACATCGATTCGAGTAAGAATCCATTACTCTATTTTTTATTATGGAATTAAGTTTAATTATAAATAATGTAGTTTTTTGTACAATTTAGAAAATCTCGATAATTAATCATAGGTTACTAATGGAACTGGAACCAGTTACTATTCACTGTTGATCCTATTTGATTGATTTTACTGTTTCAAATGCATAATATTACACTAGAGTTGTTATGATGATTTAGTGGCATTTCTTTGATGCATTAATTGCTTATTCTGCGTGATTTATAGTTAAATTATGAAACTGAAAATTAAATATAAATGAGAAATTATTTGATTAAGTGAATGATTGAATGGTAGGCTTATTGGATATCTTATGAGATAGTGGACGAATTGGGTGCATAGGAAACTCTACTGTGAACATTGTCTCACACCGGATGGGGTATTGATGATTGGTATTTTGGCACTCATACCAGATGAGGTATGGGAACCACCCGTTTCACTCTCAAACCGAACGGGGTATTGAGGGATAACATTTTTTGTGCTCATACCAGATGGGGTATGGGGCCGACCAGTTACTTGAAAATATTAAATAACGGTTCACGCGTAGTGGTGACACCCCTATGGACCCCCATGGATACCAATAGGCAGATAAAAAGGAAAAATTGTTGTTCTGATCAATTGAATATGAGATTATAATATTGTTTGTGATATTACCTTTATAGGTCAGTTTTGAAATTTTCGTTACAATAAATGTACAATAAAT